AGTGGCTCTAGCAATCATCGTATGGTTCAGGGACAACCATAATATGGTTACAAAATTAACTATCATACAGTTATCGGAACCAAATTTTAGTACTCACGGCCATTTTAATGTTGTCTAAGCCACCACATTATGGCTGTCCCCGAGAAGGCCACCACCTCAATTTAGGATGTACACAGGATTACGTGATTACGGGGATATCACGTGAATTTTAAAAGATAACACATGCATTTTGTTGAATTCCTGGCTCAAAAACCATTACATTTGGACAATAAGGTGAAATCTAGTGTTAATGTTTTAAAATTTGGTCAAGTATTACAACACCCTCATCTGTACACAGGATTGGAGTGGTGGTCCCCTCGGCTGTCCCTGAAGTAAGAATGGTGGTTACAGCTTTCAATTTTTCTGGATGAGCACTGGAAATCCAAGTGTACAAATGTCGCACACCTGCAGGTGTGTGAAAAAATTCACACGCTTGTGGGTGAGCGACAAAATATTCACACTCCTGTAGGTGTGCGACAAGATATTCACACACTTGTAGCTGCGAGCAAATAAAAATTCGTACACATTAATTTTTATAAACTAAGCAAGCGGGGAAGAAAAAAAAGTGTGCCTCACCCGTATCTGTGACGGGCCCCGCGCAGCTAATGAAAGCTACTTAAACGGATTGAAGAGGACTTTGGTTGTTGGACTTACGGGTGTCGCAAGGTGAGCAAGACTGAAACCCAGATTCAGAGGCCTTACCATCAGGGGTACGCGGGATTCGAACCCACAACCCCGAGCGCCGAGTCAATTCGACAGTTACAGTGACCCTGCCACCAGAGCTACCCAGCCAACGGAGGTGAGCCGTGTTCCAATTCTACTTGAACTTCAGGTCGGCCCTGGCGCCTTACACCAACGCCAAGCGGAAAGCGAAAAATGTTGCCGAGCCTGGAGTCGAACCGTCGACCTCCGACGCTCTAGGCGGGCGCTCTACTGACTGAGCCATTGAGGTGAGATGCAGGCAGTCGTATCAGGGGACGCGCCATTCTACGACGTCGCTGAAGGCGAAAAGACATCCAAGTTTTGCGGATTTTTTTTTTTTGTTGAACCAACATATACCTTTTTGTGCGCTTTGAAGTGCGGGGAACAACATATCAAAAGATGGCGAGAACTTTTTTTGGGGTTCCTTTGTCTACTTCGTCAGTCGCTGAGAGCGACACTTTGGCCGGCTGCGGCTAAGTCCCGGCTGACCTCTTACTAAAGGAACCCAAAAAAAAGTTTTCGCCATCTTTTGATATGTTGTTCCCCGCACTTCAAAGCGCACAAAAAGGTATATGTTGGTTCAACAAAAAAAACAAAAAAAAAACGGAAAACTTGGATGTCTTTTCGCCTTCAGCGACGTCGTAGAATGGCGCGTCCCCTGATACGACTGCCTGCATCTCACCTCAATGGCTCAGTCAGTAGAGCGCCCGCCTAGAGCGTCGGAGGTCGACGGTTCGACTCCAGGCTCGGCAACATTTTTCGCTTTC